GTTGAATGAGTCTATTTGAGAACGTCGGATAGACTTATTGAAGTCTAACCTGTTTTATATTATAGATTCTAAAATGATAATAATCCCTTAAATTAGATTAGTAACTTCTTATAAACATACACATCTGTCCCATTCACTTCCCAAAGTCTGATAAACATTTGCAATCTGCCAAAGTCATTCAATCTGCTTCAAATGTATGCAAAAGATAATTTAATTACGAGAAAAATATATAAATGATGTGAATTGCAGAGTATGGAATGGGTGGTGACACATCAACGCATGGAGATGTATATAGCTATGGGGTCCTCTTGCTTGAAATGTTCACAGGGAGGAGACCAACTGATGATATGTTCAAAGATGATTTAAATCTCCATAATTATGTGAAGAGGGCACTGCCAAAACAAGTCCTGCAGATTGTAGACCCAGTACTTCTTGCAAAAGGAGAGATAGAAAGAGATGAGGAATCAATTGCAGCACCAGGAAAAGAAGAGGAGGATGATGATGACAACGACAACCATAATGAAATAGAACAACAAAAAGACAACAAAAATTTTATAAGTTGTCGCCGAGGGAGCAATAAGATGGTAAAGGGCATCATTTCGGCCCTTCAAATTGGATTGGCATGCACAGCAGAATCACCAACAGGACGAATGAATATGAGTAAAGTCTCCAGGGAGCTACAACTCATTAGAAGTGTTTTCCTTGGTTGACATCTACAGAGGAAAACCACAAGGCCCAAAAAGATATGAGAGCATTGTTCTATTGTTACCAGTCAAAAGATTTGTTTGCATTGGTACTCAGAAGTAAGGGTGTAATCTAGTAGTGTCGTNCAAAAAGATATGAGAGCATTGTTCTATTGTTACCAGTCAAAAGATTTGTTTGCATTGGTACTCAGAAGTAAGGGTGTAATCTAGTAGTGTCGTGGTATGTTTGGATTTTATCATTTCATATTCGGGCCTATTCTGTAATATTCATGTAAACCATGTATGAGATACCACAGGACTGGTACTCATATTTTTTCCAAATGCCAGTAAAACAAATTATTTGTATCTACCCCGATCATATTCGTGATAATTAGTCGTTTAATTTTTGAGTTTGTGTTAATGGAGAAAATATACACCTACGCCTAAAAGTTTCCAACGTGTTGAGCAGTTAAATGGTATTTTCACTGTCCCTCCTCCTCTTCGGTATCAATTTATTTTGGGCTGCCAAGAGTTGATCTACCAGCATCATCAGAATGCATCAGTATTTGCTACGAAATACTACCATGAAGAAATGGTTTAATGTTGTCTTGAGTCTACTCGTAGGGTAAAAACTGTCAAAAATAAGAGATTCCTACTTGAATTGCGTCTCTGGCATTAGATTCAAGTGTGGACAATATACCCCATCTGTGGGGCATTGCTTTTGAAGGCAACATAAGTGCTCTGATTTGTATAGTTTAATTTGTGGGATGCATTTGTACTCCCCCAATAGAGATGCCCTATTGGACAACCATAAGACTTTGTTTGTTTGAATGTAAAAAGAATTTGGTTCATGGATAGCAGCTCCGGAGGAATGAATATGCATACAGTTATGTGGTTGTAGCCATTGAAAAAAAATACTCAATAAAGATCTAAAATCACATCAGTATATACAAAAACAGTTTCTCCATTTGCAAAACTATAGTTGTAAAACCATTTGTCAATCAATTGACATTCAACCACCAATTCCATTGATAGTC